CATGTTGTTATAATAAATGAATACAACTTAAATTATGAATGAATCTAAGTTTCAAATGGACAGCAACTGCCTGTTGTAGAAACCTACAAATGTAGAGGACGACGTTTCGAAAGTCTTCGTCCATTTGAAACTTAGATTCATTATGAATACTCTGCCTAAACAACCTATCAAAGATTAGCTTAAATTATCTTTTCTTCAACATACAGCTCATTATCTGGAACATTTTATTTTTTCTAACGATCGGAGGATAGCAAACATTGTGGAAAACTAAAACAAATAACAATCACCAGAAAAGTATTTTTATATCAAACGTTTCGCTGTATCAGCTTGATAAAACAAAAGGCTGATATAGCAAAACATTGAGAATAAAAATACCTTTTCCGGTGATTAGTCGTATTTATCACAACTAAATCTGGAACTACTTACTTTGATAAACACACATTCTACAGAACCTGAATAGAATTGATTTTTTTTTGTGATTCACATATGCAGCCATAACAACAAAATGAATTATCTCCACTTTAGCATACAAACAAACGAAACGAAAAGCAACAACAACAACAACGAAAACGAATCAATGTTTCAGTTTCATTTTCTGATCACACGTCATATTTTTTATTATTTACACATATGACATATATCAGTTTAAAACTAACTTTATATTTTACATTCGAAAGGCAAACCTAATAAAAAAAAAGCTTTATCGGGTAGACAGCTGCCTGGGGTGGCAAAGTGAATAGAATTTTCTTTATTCGTTTTACATTCAATAGAATCATTCACACGGTGGCTCAGCAGTAAATTTGAGAATTTGTAATGCTAAAATTGGGAGTCTGATCTCTGCAGCGGGCATAGCAAAGACAACACATTGTACAGCTTTATACTGAATAAACAATCAGTAAAATTGACTATATGTCGCTGGTTTTATATTCCTTAGATCTCGGGAACCACCTATATGCCTTCACATTGGCATACTATGTTTAAATATTTTCCATCTTCATTGTGTTGATCTTAGGGCAAATCGTGGATTTTCCTTTTAACATATATATACAGTTTTGAAACAGCTACTTGTAGTACAACGTTTCGTCTCTAACAGATCATGTCTAACCGTTAGAGACGAAACATTGTACTGAAATAAATCCATTATCCGACAAATCATGGAAGTTCTAACCCTCTCTAGAGGTATTTATTGTTACCTTTTATCGAATCTCTAATAGATGTTTAAGTGTTTTGCTTCGTTGTTTTTCTCGCAGTATCTGATTTTCCTTCCTCGCTGTAACCTTTAGAGAGTTCTTAGTACACGTACATTATTGTTTATTTTCAATGATTAACCACTCATACTCACCAGGGTATTGATGCGATACCACAAGTTGCCATTTATTGTTAGTGTTATGTAATAGTTATACGGTAGGGTTCACATATTACATCGTATTGAGTAATTTTGTGAAGCCGTTCATTTTCTTCGTAAGTAAACTATATAGGATACGCCAACACTGGTTAGTTGGTTAATTTCAATACTGATAGTATTTTTGTTTACATTTTATTTTTGTGAGCCACGTTACTAGAGACTCTGTAACCAATAAAGTAATTGACACCCAAGCAACTTGGTGCATAAACAGTTTAGAAAAATGTGTTTAAAAATCCGATAGGGGCCCTATCAGTTACTTTAAGGATATTAATACGCCTATCACCCGTTGATGTTTTAAAGCATTCAGATCTTATTAAAGTTTATCAGTTTCAGTATTGTAATTAAAAGGATCTCAAATGGACTAAGAAGGTTGAACGATTTCGAAGAGTAGTCTCTAAGTGAAAGAAACACCTCTCTTTTTAAAGGCGCTGAAGCCATTTTAACCACTTTTTTTGTGAGGCTATTTTACTTCAAATAGTTTTCCCAGGAAGACATCTTTGTGTTTATTCGCCATATCCCGTGATAAATTGCGAGACTTTCTACAAGATAAATACATATAATGTATTGTGACATAAACGTTTGTTTGTTTTTAACACAAAACTATACTGGGGTCTAACTGCGCCGTGTCCGCCGTGGGGATTGAACCCTGAATTTAAAATAAATACATTGGCTTAATTGAGTTACATTTAATGAATCAGCTTTATAGGTAAATAAGTGTAGGAAGTATATCGTATAAAAACGTCCATAAAGGAGAAAGTAGCATAGAGGATTTTTTTTAAAGATATTGAAACCGACCTAGAATGTTCGAACAACTTTCGAAGAATGGACTTTTCTTCTTCAGGAGCAGAAAGGTTATAAATCTGTCAATGCTCATTCAATATGTACTCCCTATGTTTTATGAAACTGTGTTAACTCAAACCTGTTAGAAGTTTGAAGAAATATGTTTTTATTTGTGACGAAAGAGGTAAACAAAGAAGCGTACATTAATCAATTTCTTCCTAAACCAATTATACCATCTAGGTGCGTGTATCCACCGCCAGGGCATAAAGCCTTCATCATATTAGTTTACAACAATGTAACTTGTAAGTTAATGTTAATGAGGTTGCAATCTATACAGACCATGCTAACAATTAAGTTACACATATCTGGTTTGTTAATTTCTGTTATTTTTCCTAAATTAATTAAAAACCAAACACTGCATACTTCATTGTTTTAGAATGAAACGACCGTCGAACCTACCTGTTTTCCGCAGCGGAAAGTCGTCGTCATACTTGCCGAGAAGAGGATGCCTACAGCGGGAAGAAATTATAAAGACTGAATCTTTGTACTGAGACGTGCACTGACATGACCAGCTGTCCTCATAAAATTAAAAACGAAAAAGGTGGGGAAGCAAATAAAAGGAATAAAAGTAACAGAAAATAGCAGGAAGAAAAGAAAAACGAGATGAAATAAAAGATTTTATACTTTATCATTTATATTTTTATTTTTCATTATTAATTTACGGCTCCATTGTAAAAAATAATTCTTATCCTAATATAATGTATTATTTCATTATTCTTGGTAAGAAGAATGACAAAGACAAAAGCATCCATGATATAACTATATTAATACAATGCATTTCAAAGTCACAGCTTTCCTGTTCTTTATTCTCCTAATACTTTTCCTTCCGAGCACGAAAAACAAGTTAGGTCAGATACATTGTGGATTCAGATAATAGCCAAGTTATAAGTGGGAAGGAAGGGATAATCCATAAGTGATATTTTAAATTTGTTACAATGTCATAAACACCACTCGTAATTGTGACACAGGATTTAAAAAAACATAACAAGTAGGGTCGGGTCGTGGGTTCATGTAACAAGGAAGTTATAAGTGAGAGAGATGGGGTGATCCATATACGATATTTTAAAACTATTACAATGTTATAAAACACCACTCGCAACTGTGACATGATTTACAATTCGTCTAAAACTATAACAAGTAAGATCCAGTTATGGGTTCACGTAACAAGTTATAAGTAGAAAGGAGTTGATGATTTACTACAAATATTTGACACCATAATAATGTTACAAACGCCACATGTAGCAGTGACACAGTATTTAGAATTCGTATCAGACGGTCTCATCAACAGTGGGTTGCTAGGTGCTTAAGAGATTCGGGGCTCGAGCCCATACGCGCGGGAATTTTCAGCATTTCAGTATGATAATAATCATAGTTTTCTATTCTGATTTTTCAACACACCAACTGGGAATTCGGGGCACGAGCCCTTTATGCTTTAGCCTAGCGACGCTTCTGCTAATCAACGTTACTGTGTTTAAGAAGCTTGCTTTAAAACTTCAGAAATAAACGTTATTTGTAACGGTTATAAGGCAAGTGTCTTGTGTAACAACATTCGTTTTTTTCGTGTTAGCAAAGACACTCAAGTGTAAGGATGTTATATTATTTCGTTTTACGTGAACATGAATCTAAGACAGTTTAAACGAATATTCTTTAATTGAAGCTTAATGATAAATTCTCTGGAATATTGTACCATGACAAAAAAAAACAACACCAACAACGAAAACAGTAAAATATTTTTCTTTGCTCTGCATTTATTTAAGAAGCATTTTCAAATGAAAATTAATAATATTGATACCATTGCTTTTTTTTCCGTACGCGAGTACCCATTAAAACAAATCAACTAAAATTCACGAAACCAAAATTCTTACTTATAAGGGTGGAGCATATTAGCTTAGAATGTTATGAAGCAGATACAAAGGGGAAAATTACAAACGATCACGCCATTATATCCATTAATACACCAGGTGCGTAGAAACTGGGGGGGGGGGGCTTGCCCCCTTATAATTTCTAAGCAACAAGCTATATAAAACATATAATTAAACATTATTATTACTGTGCTGGTATTATAAAATCAAACAAATATTATAGATGGTTTAAACACATATAATATTATACATTAAATTTCATCTTACTGAAACAATACATTAATAATTTGTGTTCGTTTACTAAACTACTACTGACTATGTTACGGGTCATGAACGATGCATTTTTTGCAAGAATCGTAATTTAAAAACTTACTCAGAAGTTATAGGTAAAATGTATTCTAATGGTATTTTTATTATAGATGTTTTTTTTTTTTTTAGTTTCAAAACGAGATAATGGCATAATTTTAAAATAATTATATATATATATGCATCCTAAGTAGTTTAACTATGTTATAATAATCGCTTAAATGTATTGTTTTGCCAATAGGTAAAGTACAACCTATGTATGTTATCTTCTTGGTGGCATTTATATATGGTGTTATGAGTATAATAAATGAGGCTTTGACAACATAACTGAAAAATGTTATGAATTGGGGATTTTTAGTTCCACCCCCCAACAATAAAACACAGTACTCCTACAGCCCTGTACTCCTACAGTACTCCTACAGCCCTGTACTCCTACAGTACTCCTACAGCCCTGTACAAAAAAAAATAATTCTAAAACTATAAATGGCATTTTTTCACGCTGTTTTAAGATTTGTTTGGTTAGTTGTTGTTAAACACAAAGCTACATAATTGTTGTCAGGGTTTTATAATATGTGGTAGGCCGAGGATTCTTCTACAGTAGGTGTCTGTGACTTGTTAGCGATAAATTCTACAATAAACGGACAGCACACAATCCACTTGTTTTAAAATAATATATTCAAAACAAGTCAAACGTAAGTACACATTTTTTTTACACTGTAGCATATCACAAGTGTATCTAAAACTCTAAATAATTCTATTTTCTTGTCAAAAGTCCACTCAGGCTGATTCAATTACTTTAGAATCCAATTGACAAGACGAACTATTTTTCTCTACTTTGTTTCTACTGTACAGTCTGCGATAGATTTACTTACTCTACTCCGTGGGTTGCCACAGTTGTATCATGAACTTCAAATAATTGTATCATTTTTGTCAAAGTCCACACAGACGGGTTCAATTACTTTAGAACACCCTTTGACAAGACAAATTATTTTCCTTATCTCTATTAAACTGTGAAACTCAATTTAAAATATCGTCTGTTACGGCTAATCTCATACTTCACGTTTTCTAACTTTTCTGTGACTGAACTTTTCTGGAATTTTCTCTAAACTACGCGACGCGATGACTTAACAATACTCAGTTAAGGTAACAAGAAAAATACTGAAGTTTCGAGTAATGTGACGTCAACAATATTAGTTAAGCCTCGACAACAATGTAATTACAATCACAACGTACTACTCGTATAGAGTTACACAACCAAACTTGTTGTACTATCGCCTTTAAAATGATTAACTTTTAACTCTCTTGTTATGAAAAACTAAAAAATTATTTGTTTGTTTTGAATTTCGCGCAAAGCTACACGAGGGTTATCTGCGCTAGCCGTCACTAATTTAGCAGTGTAAGACTAGAGAGAGAAGGCAGCTAGTCATCATCACCCACCGCCAACTCTTGGGCTACTCTTCTACCAACAAATAGTAGGATTGACCGTCACATTATAACGCCCCCACGGCTGAAAGGGCGAGCATGTTTGGTGTGACGGGGTTTCGAACCTGCGACCCAGAGATTGCTAGTCGAGCGCCCTAACCACCTGGTCATGCCGGACTAAACAATTATTAAATATTAACTCACAAAATAAATTAAATCATAATGCCTACACTAAACAGTCTTGTATATCCAACAATAGTCTACCTGTGTGTGCTCTGCTCACTATGAGTATTAAAAGGCGATCTGTTTTCAGGAGTACAGATGATTTGTTTTAAAACTTGACAACGAGGAACCCATTTTTTAGGAAATAAAAGATTTGAAACGACTTGACTGAGTAATGAAAAACTTTATTATAAATCTTGTCAAAACGTCGTACATTTATAATAAAGTTTTTCATTACTCAGTCAAGCCGCCTCTAAACTTTTAGATGAATTATTTGTTATTGCATCCTTCCTTTCTCTTAACGGCGCAGATAACCCTGATGCTTTGCGCCGATAAACTCCAATCAATTAGTATTATTTTGCTATGTGATACGTGATAAGTTAATTAGTATTATTTCGCTATGTGTTACCTAAAACATTAATTACTATTATTTTGCTATGTGGTATGTGACATGTTATGTACGCAGCTGGAAGTATCCCTCAGTAACAAGATTTTACCTAGAAGTATTTAACAGTTACGTTACTTATAAGACTTATCTTGAACAGAAATTTACTCAACAATTACAAAATTTACCCTGAACATATATGTAGTTATAAGTTACATAAAAATTACAGGATTTACCCTGAACATAGAAGTACTTACAAATTACACAACTTATGATTTTGTGTCGAACAGTGAGTTGGGAGTTATAAACTTTACATAGAACGGGGATATATGTATCAGTTAGAAGGCTTATCTTGAACAGGAAGATACGTCACAGTTACAAGACGTTCTTTTTTATACTTTTAGAATTACTCGACAAATAGTAAACTTAAGTTGAACACAAAGATGCTCACCAGTTACAAATCCTACATTGAACAGGGAGGTACCCACCAGTTAGATGACACGTGTTGTGCAGCAAGATATAAAACTGTTAGACTTGGTTGAACAGAGAATTATTCACCAGTTACAGAACTTATGTTGAAATACTTACCAGTTATGATACAGAACTGTTAGACTTGGTTGAACAGAGAATTATTCACCAGTTACAAAACTTATGTTGAAGTACTTACCAGTTATGATACAAAACTGTTGGACTTGGGTTGAACAGAGAATTATTCACCAGTTACAAAACTTATGTTGAAGTACTTACCAGTTATGATACAGAACTGTTGGACTTGGGTTGAACAGAGAATTATTCACCAGTTACAAAACTTATGTTGAAGTACTTACCAGTTATGATACAAAACTGTTGGACTTGGGTTGAACAGAGAATTATTCACCAGTTACAAAACTTATGTTGAAATACTTACCAGTTATGATACAGAACTGTTGGACTTGGGTTGAACAGAGAATTATTCACCAGTTACAAAACTTATGTTGAAGTACTTACCAGTTATGATACAAAACTGTTGGACTTGGTTGAACAGAGAATTATTCACCAGTTACAAAACTTATGTTGAAATACTTACCAGTTATGCAAATTAGGTGGAGAGTTACTAATCGCAGCTTCTCTCTGTCGTTTACTGAGCACAAACTCCTGGAGTCGCTGTTTAACTTCTGATGAGGCTACAGCACCTGTTATACACGAAAACATATGGGTAAGTAGGTATTTATATACATACAGAGAAAAACAAAAGTTATAATTGATACAAAAAACTTACTCTGTTCATGTTTTTCCTTCTTCTTCAAGGATTCCAATTTTTCGTGATCTTTTTTCTGTTTTTCAAGTTTTTGTTCCTCGTCCCTCTTTTGCTGTTCTATATACTCCTGTAGATCAGAAGACGTTCTTTCAATAAGAAATATTCGCACAAAATAATACCACTTTTCAAATAAAATTCTGAAAATACCTCGAGCCACAATTAAGTATTATCTACAATAATGTATGAGCTGAATATCGTATTATTTTCGTGTGGCTTACTTTCACTGGTCAGTAAGTTTCAACGTAGGTTTCAACAATATATATTTCTGATAATTACATTTCATTAGCTATAGCGCATTTGATTACACCCCACGTTCTTAGTAATTTTTGTGTAAGCAAATAAATTATAAAAATATAAATCAAGTTGCTGAAGTTATTCCGACTAATGGCTTGGTAAATAAACTGATGGTAAGAAAACAACCAATAAACAAAGAGTTTGTACATAATTCCAGTGAACCAAACAGCTCACAAAGTAATGTCAGTAGTGATAGAAATTATCATAATCTGCTTCACTGCTACTATATGATTTTTTTTTTCTATTTTCGAAGATTACAAACGAAATATAAAGAGGGCGCCAAGAATGTCAGACACCCTAAAGAACACCAGTCTTCAATTGAATTACACATAGATTTCTTGCCAGTTCTATTGTCCTACGATAATTAATTCGATAATCAAATTCAATTCATACCTTAATCTTTTCCTGAACCTGTTGCTCATACTGTTCTGCTAGCTGCTGTTGCTGTTGTTGGAAGTGTTGTAACAGTAACTGTTGTTGAATGTGCTGTTGTTGTTTAAGCTGTAGCAGCTGCTGTTGAAAATGCACGTTTTGTTCCTGACTCACAGATGATATAATGGAGTTATTGACGTTATTAGTGAGGTCCCCCATCTGTTCTTGTGTCACTCCGGATCCTCCCACATATCCAACTCCATTCAGATCTATAAATGAAAAAAATAGTTGTTCATTAAGAGTGTCTATGCTGCGGTAAGCTTTAGATAGATAAGTCATCACTCGAAGAACTTTATATAACTGTCACATTTATATCATTGATAAAAACAAGCAATAGTTTTGTTATTAAGCGGCTAATCTAGTGCCTATACAGACGTTCTAGGGATAGATTAAACAAAGCGAATCTTCTATGAATCGTAAATATTTGGAATGTAGAAGTGGACGTCTAGTTTCTGAGCTGAGGTTTTCATTAAGGCTTAGATGTTTAAAACTGTCACCTGTACCTCCAGATAAGGCTTTAATGTCATCACGTCTACACCTCAGACAAGGCTTTCATGTCGTCACACCTACACCCCAGAACTAGGGTTAGAGTTAAACGTTGTCACCAGAACACTGTAGACAAGGCTTAGACATTGTCACTTGTATGCTGCAGACAAGTGCAATCCGAGTTACAAAATTCAGCGCCAGCAAGAACTAATGCATTGTAGCACGTTCTTTAAATACGACGAGATCTTGTCTTTTTTTTCTAAGTATATAATGAATAAGAAAGCGATATCTCAGTATTATTGTGCAGAAGGAAATGTTAATCTTTTATACTTTTAGGATTAAAATCAACGGGACGAACATGATTTAGTTTCAGTTATATCTACAATTTTAACATTAGGTTTATTCGTTCAGAGTAATAACATATCTTGCGAACTACACCACATTTTAATGACATTTATATAAACTTATCATAAAACATAGAGTGTTTGTTTTCAATTTCGCGCAAAGCTACACGAGAGCTATCTGCGCTAGCCGTCCATAATATAGTAGTGTAAGACTAGAGGGAAGACAACTAGTCATCACCATCCACCGCCAACTCTTGGGCTACTCTTTTAGCAACGAATAGTGGGATTGACCGTCACATTATAACGCCCCCAAGTTTGGTGGATGGGGATTCGAACCCGCGACCCTCAGTTTGCGAATCGAGCGCCCTAACCACCTGGTTATGCCGGACCCTCATAATTATAATACTCTAATTGTCTTAGTTGGGTTTGAAAGTTGAAATACTGAAATTAAAGCCTATGACTAGAGCTTGTTTACAAATATCATCAAGTTGAAGATCACTCAGATTAAATATTACATAATCAGGATGATGTTTATAAACAAGTTATAATCAAAGGCCTTAATTTCAACATTCCAACACTAACTGTCATGTTAAGAAAACTTCTTTATAGAGAATGTCGATTAATCCATTTGATATCCACAAACTATAGTTAAGTATGTTTGAATATTTCAGAATTTCGCGAAAAGCTACACAAGAGCTACTTGTGTATAATCGTACCTAATTTTGTGCGCTAATAGACTACATGGTGTCCGAAAAGTCTGGAACCATAGATGATTTGCAGCTTTTCTTAATTTCAGATACGTGACTGATAATGGCGCTGTCAAATAATGAGAAGGTCCAGTTAATCCTGCTGTGTGCCAAAGAATGTTGGTCTCAGGGGACGGTTGCTTCCGAATTTAATGCACACCATCCAGCGAGAGAGAAAAATAAAACATCACTCATAATTTAAGGAGGAATTTAAGGAGGTTGGCAGTGTGGATGACAGGGTAACGGTCTGTGTGACTGGTTCATGCAGAACGGCGCCCCACCGCATTATGCAACGGAAGTCCGAGCTTGGTTGAATGACACCTTCAAAGAAAATTGAATTGGCAGACGTGGTCCTCAGGAATGGGACTCAAAAGATCTCTGGTTTTGACTCCCATGGATTTCTTTTTTTCTGGGGACTGCTCAAGGCATGTGTGTACAAAAAGAAGATCATGGACACCGAACATATGAAACAATGAATTCGCAACAAGTGTCGGACCGCTGACAATGACACGAAAATACTTCGCAGTGTTCAAAGATAATGGATATATTGTCTTGAAGTTTGTTTCGAATTACAAGGACAGCATATGGAACACATATTGTAAAATTCATTGAGACTTCAGGACTTTTTAGACACTCTGACACCAACTATTCAACAGCACCCACTACCCACTCTTCGGATACTTTTATCTGATTGAATAGTGGGATTTAACAATCATTCTTATAGTGCGCTCATGGCCCAAAAGTGTGGCCCCCTACCTTATTGCGACAACGGGTCGCGAACCGTGAATTTTCTGATTCGCGGTCCGGGCAAGCTAACCACTAAACCACGCCAGCCCCTAAATTCATTTTGAGTTATAGTACCATCTAGTATGAATGCTACGAAACTAACTTCAAATGGTATATCATATATATGTAATTTTGAAATATTTTAATCTGCACAGTTTTTACAAAAGCTCTCATAGCTTGAAAGGAAGAAACTACGTAGTTTAATGTTCTGGCTGAATCGTAAAAAAAAAAAAAATACAAAGAAAAATCGCAATTTCCATTGTAACGCCTGTGAGAGATAACCTAAACAAAATTATTGTGTTTAGGGTTATTTCTGTCTGAAAATTTATAGGTTTATTTAATAGTTTACGTTAATTTTGAAACACTTTATGGTGTTTTATGCATATTGGTATAACACTATTGATGGTAAAAGAGAAAATAATGTCATATATATAAATACAAAACTATAGAATAAATCATCATCAACTGCAAATAGACGAAAAAATCAGCACCATCAACTAGTGAAAAACAAATCCTACTAGGTGTAGAAAACAGCAAAGGGTACATAGCTCCAGCAAGACAACTGTGTTAATAGTAGCTTTACCCGTTATTCAATGTTTTTATGACTAGTTTCTCACTTATGTTCGAAAGACAGTTGAAGAGACGGGATATTCACATCACTCTATGGGTGCTATCACTGCAGTTATCTTTTTGGAACTTGTTTGTACTATTTTATCTGTTTGTGTTGTACAGCGCTATTTAAGATCGAGAATTTTCTGTTAGTGAGGTTAACGGACACAGTACAATGGTCAGTTTTGTGCAAGTTCTATAGAGATTATGACGCCCACCGAGAGTTAAAAAAAATACTAAGAGTTTAGTTGACCACGATCTAACTTTGTTGAATTGTTAATTTCAATTGACTCGTGGTTAGTTTGACAAAATACATTCTATCTAATTTGTTAATTTAATATCGCATAAAATGACTCCTGGTTAGTTTAACACGATCTAACATAGTTCTTTTATATAATGTCACGTTAATTGACTCGCAAATAGTTTGACATAATACACCCTAGCTTATTGGTTAGCTTAATATAGCTCTTGTAAGATAATTCAGGCTTAGTTTAACACGATATAACCATAACTATCTGTTATATTTAATATGTTGTAAAATTATTTAATATATTATAGTTAATTTACTGATTATTCAAGATGTAGTATAGGAAAGTTTAAGCTGATGAACATAACTACATCGATCGATTCTGAATTGACATGAGTATCCATCTTAAATACTTAAGAAGATAACATTGGTGATGACATCATAATGATAGAAATGGTCAAAACAAGTCGAGATCTAAAAATGTGTATTACTGCAGTGTTTTATCTGACGTAAACAAAACACAGCATGACAGGTCATGTCCTTTTCACTTTACCAAAGGCGATATAAAACGAAGATATAAACGTTGTAACTCCCAAGAAGGGAAAACAGAGCTCTTATTTAAATTTTTTAAAGCAAGTTTGTTGAACTATGAAACCGATACAGAGCGAAGGGCAATAGAAAAAGACACGAAACTAAGATTTTGAAAAACAAATACTAACGTTTAGTAATTATTACAATGAACAATGTCTAGTTTGGTTGTAGAATGACTGATTATCACTAATTCTTATTGTTTGTTTAACCAAAATATGTATTGAAAAATGTAAGAATCGTGGGCGTTGATTAATTAAAACCATAAGTTGATAAATCTAATGCTCGAAGTTTTTAGCCGCGGCATAACGGCTCATAGAATGTCTCTGAGTTTGTTTTTTTCAAGAACAAAGTTTTAGTTCATAGTTCCGTCATCTTTTGACCGATTTGAGATCTAATTACAGTTTAGGACTCAGAAGGTCAAACTCATTCGAATGATGTATTAGACCACGCACAAGATCTCATAGATTAATTTACTCTAGTCCGGCCTAAAAGGATTTTAATTTCAAGATAGACTGGTGAATATCCTGATGAGTAATAAAATGGAATCGTGTATACGCTCGCCTCACGTTTGGTATTGCTGGCGCACAAAAATATAGCTAATAAAATGGGGGGGGGGGAGGTCTCACATTAATTTACTCTGGTCCTGCCTAAATGAATTTCAAGTGCCGCGGCTATTGATAATTCCCTTTTGTTTTTTGTTGTTGTTTCTTCAAGAGTTTTATAACATTACTGATCTTTGTTTCGTTATTTCATGTTTGATTACATTAATCATCTACGTAACAATAGAAACCGCAATAAAGAGAATCATAAAATAGCTTATAATCCTGATTAACAAAAGAATATCATTGATACTGCCAGTCTCTCGAATTTTAAAATCATAAGTATACATAAGTGAAAAATGAAAAATCAATGTAAATAAACGATCGACGTACTGTATTTTGGCACGATGCTAAGATAGTTCAGCTAGAATGTTGACGCATTCCATCTTCCATAACCTCAATAGTTGGCTGCTTTCTTCGTACGTTCTGGTGGTTTTGACAACTTTCATTTTTACCATAAAATGTACACGAAAGCGCTTGAAACAAACCGTATCGTCACCAGAACAGGATTTTAAAAGTACAATGTCCAAGGCCTGTTAGGCATTTCTTCTGTAAATCTATCTCACAAACATTTGAGAATGGAAGGTTAAAACCTTATTTCAATTTAAAAATACAATTCTGTTGCTGAACGTAAGAAAGTTCCGTTGCCACCTCACAAAAAAAAATAAGTATTTGACCTCTGCTCTTGATTCACGGTTTGAGTTGTCCACAAATTGGTTTCGGTTTAAAAACAGTTTTACACGCATGGATTTTCACCATATACTCCTGCAGGAAAATGTTACTTAAATTAGATCACTAAGA